GAAGAAACCAGGCACTTCACACACCTGCCCAGTTCAGAGATGAAGAGAGCCTCTCCCCAGAGATACCAAGAAATCAAGCCATGCCAAAACCATGAAGACATTTCCCCAGATGTGCCTGAAAAGCTAATTCAGCCCTGGGGGTTCATATGCTGTCTGAAACTATGTGCTCTCTAAATAGAGCATGTCTCTTGAAGATGAAACTGATATGGGTGAAGAGAAGGAATTGATACCGGCAACTGGACTGAAATGGTAATGAACTTTTTCTAACTTCAAAACTTATTCCCAAAGGGTCCGTTAAGAATCTAGCTATAGCTCTGCCTGCTTCTTTCCCCTCTGATTAATGTCATTTTCTGTCTATTTGGATTTGTAAGCTGGCAATAGATCCCAGCTGCGGGGCTGTGGTGCAGACCTGAAGTTTATGGTAATTTGCCTGTGAGATTTTGATTAGCTATACTGTAGATTACACAGAGATTATCTTACAAAGTCATGTGAGTAGTAATGAGTCTGCAATTTAAGTGACAGAAATACAATGCAGATGAAATCACCAGGCGCAAGATTTAATGCAAACAGTGATGGAGGAGAGGTCAGCCTTATGGGGCAGGAGATGGGTTTTAATATTCCTAACAGTGGAGAAGAGGCACGTCCTATTCTAAGGACAAGGCAGTTCAATGCCTGCTGAGTTTGCTGTACTAAAAGATGTCTCTGTTGGAAAGACAGTGTAAAATAAGCTGGAATATGAACTGGCAGGAGTTGTCCATTAGCTCCATCAGCTCCAGTGGTGGAAGAATGCTCGTACATGCTCACATCGATAATTCGTGTGCTTTAGCTAACGCATTGATACCATTTTAAAGCTCACTTTGCTGTGAGTTCCCAGCAAAGCAGCCTGCAGATGATGTTGTGTCTTCTGCTGACCCAGGTGTTTCTTGACTGAGTATCTGTCTCCCCTCTTCCTAAACACAGTTATCCCCCTTCATCACCAACTCACTCCTGCTTTAAGGCATGGACTGAGTACCACCCAGCCGACAAAAAGCAGACATTTCAATTCCCTCCGTAGTCACTAGAAATACATTTACAGGACATGACTCATTGCAGCCTTATCTGCAATCTGGTAGATGAACTGTGCCCTGAAAGTGCTACTTTCTCTCCCCCGGCTATGAAGGGGGTCCACATGTCCAGTTCAATAGAGACGATGGTGCAGACGGCTGAAGTTAAGTGAGATGAATCTCATGCCTGCCCTGGCAGGGAGGCTGGGCCGGGGACTTGGACTGCAAATGTGGAATTGGAAGAGGGAGCATCAGGAAAGAGGGAGAGTGTTTCCTAAGGTAAGGAGAGGGAGGAAAACTAGCCCAAGCACAGTGCACTGCGTAGAAAATGTACAAAGTGGAGAATGGGGAACATTTGTTTTTCTTATTCTGTTGGTTTTGGGTGTTTATAACCTTCTCAGTTCTGTGGTAAAGCCACAGAGCTCAAACTCTTTAAAGGCAACCACTGCACATAGTATGGTAGCAGAACACGGTGTCTGGTTTTGAGAATATCGTATGTGAAAGCCTTGTTTTGGTGTGTGACATTTGGGATTTGAATAGGTTTGGCTACATTTTTGCTTAAATCTGTGATTTCAGTAGCACCCGCCTCTTCGTTATTTCATCTAAAGGGAAAAACACATTACTGAGAAAGAAAATTGGCTTTTTAAACAGCAGCAGAGATTCAGATCCTTTTCTTTGGCTGGAACTTTCTCAGCCTTGCCTTTTGTTGGGCTGGAAGGGCAGTAGAGAATATCCTCCCTGAAAACAATTGAACTGGATGACAAGCATGTGTCCCAGTCTTGGGTAACAATGAAAAAAGGTCTGGTGGGACTCTTTTGATTTCAATTGCAGCTTTAGGACTCATCTCATTTGACTTGTGGCCTTAACATGGAAGTGGCCATTGAGCTTTTCGCTGGAGCTCTCAAGAGTGGGATGGAAATTATTTGTTAGTGTTGATGATTTTTCTGACCTTGTAATACACGAAACATTTTTCCAGATAAAGAGGGCTGTATATTCTTTATCTGGGGGCTCGCACGTTACAAATGGAGAACATAAAGAAAAAGCAGCAGATGACAGAGTGCTGCTACCGTGGCAGGGCTGAGGAACAGGGAGTCAAGTGGAGAAAGTCATGGAAGGATTTTGGAAATGTGAGTTTTGGAGAAGCTTTGGAGGAGATGGAGCAAAGACTCAGTAAACCAGGTTGTTCCAAGGTTCAGAACCAGGGTCAGGAGATGGAAACCATGGGTAGGAAACATCCAAAAGCTGGGCTTTGAAGATACAATTAATGCAACAGGAAAAACAGGAGAGATAAAGCTGAACATTGAGAAAGAAAGCAGGGAGACCAAAATTGCAACACTCTGAAGGCAATAGTGAGCAAAGTCCAAGGTAGTGGCTTTCTAGCAGTAGCTAAAGAATGGATTTTTTGCTGTGATGAAAGGGAAGGACATAACATCTCATCTCTGATGAGGTGGGGAGAAGATTTCTCCATCTGAAGACAGAAGCAGTTATTGCAGGATCTCTGCCCTAACATCTGCTTTTCCTCAGCAGGATCACAATTTTTTGACAATTTTTTTAACAATTTTTTTTATTGTAGCTGTATGTTGGGCACTTTGCTGCTGGGGGCCACTGTAGCTGGAAGGTTTATAAAGGTATTTGCTCTCTGGCTGACCTTACAAGAAACACTTGTATGTGTTTGACAACTTTAATTTATTCTGCATTGCATTTCAAATCCATGGGAGCGAGCACTAATATGCAAGTATAATGGGAAAGAAATTCCTCTCATTGAAATGACTGAGATCTGGTACCCATCTTGTGTGAATGAAATTCAGTTGAATGAAATTCTTTCTTTTGTGAGTTTTAATCCTTTCCAGATTTAACTTGCAAATCTATTCAGTGTATTCCCATAAGATGAATAGCAAGATGGAAAGGTCGTAGGAGCACAGACCAGCTTTTATCTTGTATTTGACCCTCACTAGCATACTTCAAGCCTCATCCATGCCTGCAGCTTCTAGGCACTGCTGCTGTGCAGAGTAAATCAGATAAATGTGGTGCTCTTCACAAGAAAACCAGCATTTCTCTTACCTTCTTTAGCACCAAGGTGTAGTTTAATTTTACTAAATGAATGATCATCCCATGCCTTAGTTTCCCCAGATATATATCAGAGGACGTTGCCCTCTCAAAGCACTTTGAGATCTATCAGTGAAACTGTTCTGTAAAACAAAGGCTTTTGGTTTTCTTTTTCCCCTAATGATATTTATTCTTGATAGTGCATTTTGCCAGAAACCCTCTTGCAAACAACATCTATGGCAGGATCTATTTACAAAACTGAACTTGCAGTGCTGGGACGAGCTGAAAAGACTAAGGCAAAATACTATGAGTAGCACTGTACGTATTGAGACACAGTTGATTTTTGACCAGTTTGACCTAGCCTTTCTCCCTTTTCTTTGCTTATGTCTGTTCCCAGATCTCCTTGTTGATCCCCCTAAGGAATTAAAACCAATAGGTCCTACAGCCACAATACTTCAGGCATCTCTACAATAAAAAAAACCTAAATTGGTAAAAGGTGGTGTTTCTTACCTTAGTGTATTATTTGCAGGGAGAAATTAAAAAAAATATATATAAATATTATGTTTAAACATTGGGAGAGACATTGAAAATAAATACAGGAAGCTGAGGAAAGAAGAGCTTAGTGGTACAGCGAAGAATGCGATGCTATGCATTTATTCATTCATCAGAGAATTAAATCACATCAAATTGCATAAAATGCAACTGCACTAACACCCCTCAATTTTTTCCAAAAACCAGAAAGATTTCTGATAAATGAGGCTTGCCAGCAAGAAATCTCACTACCTGTCCCAGGCACAGTAATACAGAAAGCGTGATATAGGGGACCTGACTCATCCCAGAACCGGTCCTATTTACATATCTCTGGCTGAACGTCTCACAGTGATGTTCTTGCATGCAGCACTTAAATGCTTGCCGTGGGCACTGGCACTTCATCTGGCAATGAAAATGCCCCGTGAAGGAAAAGGTACAGCGTTTACTGGCAAAATACTTTAACGAGAATAAAATCACCTGGGGGTTAAATATTTGTGAAGGTACTTCCTGCATTAGTGAGTTAGGTTTGTAAGCAATACAGTCTTCCCTTCAGATGCCCTGCGCCTAGTAAAATTCACAGCCCTGCTAGAGATGATCCATTAGCAGTTACAGTACCACTGCATCTGAGAACCTGCCTTGGGCTGTATCTGCTCATACCTCTCAACCTGGACATCATCGGCAGATACAGAAGGAAATATCACATTTATGGAGCACTGAGAATGTAAGATTTCCACCCCCCCCCCCCGAACAAAGCAGTTTAAATTCAAAAACGCTAATATATCACCAGACCATTTCTCAATGCACATGCTTGTCACAATAAATAAGCCGAATATAAGCAGTATCACAATTTATAAATGTGTAAAATTATGCTGAATGAATTAGCTGCCTCTGTTCACAGTTTATAAGCACTACTGGTTGGGAGGCGTGGCTGAAAGAATACTTGGTATCTATAGTACCCACAGCAAACTTGGATGGCACCTTTTAACTAATAGCCTTGCTATCAATTTTACCTACAGAGGTACTGACATTTCAGTGTCTATTTTTATATTTCCTAAAATTACATGCAAAATGGAAAAAAACAAATTCAAAGAGCTACCTAAGGTGCACAAGGCTGCTTTGATCTGCCCACTGTGCCAGCGATGGGTTGGAGGATACATACATTACTCAGACAAAAAATACCCCGTAGTGCTCTGGATTGCCTGCAGTTGGTTTGTGGGCACAAAACCCATTTCTCTCATTTCCTTAGAATAATAAATTCCTTAAGCTCTTAACATCTTTCCTTACCTGAAAGGAGTCAGGATGTTGCGAACATCCTCCAGCAGCCACCACAAAAAAGCAAGTCGTATTTTCCCTCCCCAAAAGGCAGAAGCAGTCTTTTACCTGGCTTGTTCCCCTTGACGGATCCAAGCAAGAGCCACATCAAAAGGCACTTGAGCTCCATGGAACTTGTTCACATCTTTTCTCCGCAACACTGAGGATGGTGAAGTTTCTCAGAAGCGATGGGCTGCTGCCAGCCAAGCCAAGGAGCCATCTACTGCCTGGTTAGACCGGTGGGGAGCATCACCCTGCGCTCGTGGCAAGGACTTTGCTCTTTGGTCAGCAAATCGTCGTTTCGCTGGCTGGCTCCGCAAGAGAGAATAAAGACTGCTCTCTGTTCAGGTATTAGTAGCTTTTATCCAGGAAATCAAACTTAATGCTCAGTGTGGCGGAGCGTGCCGTCGTGTGTAGGAAGTGGTTTGACACATCAGAGCTACTGACTCCAGAGCTGTTGCACTACAGCTGAGGTCAGTAGAAGGGGACAAGATTTTAACGGGTTTGCCCAGCCACTCGGCCCCAAATCTGTGGCTGGACAGGCATTTGAGAGGGAGCATCGCTGTAGAATAGTTGGCCGGTGTATGACAATGGACCTCAGACACCATCTGTGGGCTCTCCCTACAAAGAAAAGGTCCCATGGGGTATCGTTTTGGCTTTTTGGAGGTCTTCTGCTAATGATGATAAAACCACACTCCATTCTTTTTTTGATGTATGCATGCTTGCAGTTTCTCTGAGTGACAGCTGAGCTTCTGAAGGATGGACAGTTTGATCAAAAAAATCTATGCAGATGAGGCTGGCAGGTTTGGAAAGGGTTTCTCTTGCTCCTAAATTGTCTGGGTTTGCTATGCTTCAGTGAAACTGGTTCTTCCAAATGTCAGTGGAAAACTGGAAACTATCAAGGAAGTATCACACTTTACGTAGTTTTTCTACAGCCATTTCCACAGAAATTGTTATCTGTTAGTACCCAGAGAATTAGTTGGGATAGGCTATGGAAAAACAGATTTAAGCTATCTGTGGTATTCTACCATGATTATTACATGCTGGACATTTACTTCTCCTTTATAAATCCTTAATGAATGAAATCTTCCTAACAGGCATGCTAAGAAATAGGTGTGATATACATTTTTAAATGCTGCTACGGCTACATCCATCAGTCGTAGCCACAGAGGATGCTGTGTTAGTACCTCTGTTCCTCACTATCAGAGACTCTCCTGTCCTCACACCCATAAGGGTGATGGTCCTGTGAAAGGCAGCTGACACGAGGGAGCTTCTTTTGAGTGAGACCCAAAGAAGAGCTTTTTGGGGGGTGAATGAAGATGCCATATCTAGGGGAAGTTGCACAGATATGCATCTTCTCCCCCAGCATGTGGAAAGGTGCAAACAAGACTTTAGGCAGTGCTCATGAGAGCAGCAGACAGAAGAGATGCTACAGCCCCTGCTCTCTCTCTCCTGATAAATCTCCCTTTGCCCTTTTCATTAAAGCTTTTGAGCAGCTTCACTGATGCAGATGACAAGTCCTCTTGGAGGGTCTGTTGGCAACAAGGCTTTGGCCAGTAGATTGCTGCCCAAACACAAATGCAACAGGGCACAGAGAACAAGTAAGACTTCTGGAGCAACTGCTGTACGTAAAATGCTTTGCTCACCCTGGGGCTGCTCCATGCTCCACAGATATTTACTGCCTTTGCTTTAGTACCAAATTATCTTCCATATTTAATAGCATAATAGGAAACACTCATGCCAAAGCCCACTGAAGGACTTGGAGAGATTTGCTCTTGAAACATGTCTGAAATTCATAGCCCCCAATTCTTCACCTTTTTCCAAGATACCTGGAGGTATGCAACTGCATCTGCAGAACCGCAACCATCTGGGTTGGTAAGACATATTTGTTACATTGCACTGCAAGAAATCCCAGACTGTTTATCACAATTTATCCTTCCCCTAGTAAACACGTGGTCTGTTCTTTGGAGATGCAGGGATTTACTTTCCAACATCTCCTTCTATTTCTTGCCTGGTCAAACTATTTAATTTCATAGCTATTTGCATGATGGAGACAGAGATGAGAGACCTTTTCTGCAAACCTTCAGCTCAATCTGCCTCTCTCAGCTATTCAGAATCCTGCCAGTCAATTAATGATTACAAACTCTGAGCAGAGGGCAGCAGTTTGGACTGCAGGCGCAGATTCTCAACAAGCTGAATTTTTCCTTTTGCTGAAAAGAGGTCTTTTTTCAGCAGGTGAGCTGAGACACACTCCCTCTTTCCCGCAGCCATTTGCTTTCAAGCAGAAAATCTCAGTGTAGGTGGATAATAGCCGCTAAGATTTTATTAGAAATGGTGAGTTTTTATGCTAGCAAGAACATGCAAGGTACAGTCAGTTGTTGTACTGGAAGGAACGGTGACCCCAGGTGGCTAACCACTACAAGCACAGTTTGCATGAGAAAGACCCGTAACTCAGCATTTAGACCTTTTAAAGGTCAGAAAAAAACGGTTACCACTTGTGAGAGCAATTAGTTAGGTCAGCTTTGTGAAATAGGTCAGCTTGCTGAACGATTCCAGGAAAAAACAGTGCTGCTTCTGCAAGCAACTGACCCAAAGCAGAGCGAGGCAGAGAAGGGGCGTGTGAGAACAGAGACACCCAGCAAGGGGGAAAGTTATCTAGGCACAGAAAAAATGGGTTTGTGAGGAAAAAAAACATAATTAGCATTATAATTTAGATCATTAAAATTAGATGTTAGCAACAGAGGTGTGTGTCAATAAAGGAGGGGAGGTGCTGTGAAACCTGGAAAGTGATGGAGGAAAATAGGAGCATCTTGAGCATCTAGGAAGGTATAGGGGGAAAAGAAGGTGCTGGTGTCCTGTTGCTTCTTGACTTCCTTCCATTGATCACCGGAGTTTTGCTGCTCAGAGAAGTCCTCTCAGCAGAAAGCTGGGAGGAAAAGAGACCGTCAGATGACCCAGGTCACCACAGACAAGGATTATGAAGGTCATTTTTATACAATGCCACAAGACCAAGAAAGATGCAGAAATGGAGTCACCAGGGAGTAAACCACAGACATAGCTCCAGCCTTCTTTAGGTCTAGGTTTAACAAGGGCCTTTTGAAATCCTGCAAGTGCTTTTAAATCAGTGCACAAACTCGTTTGGTCTGGAGGTCTTGAGTAGCAGAGGCTGTAAGCAGATTTTACAGTGTGTCATCTGTCCATCTTATCTGATGGAAAAAAAACAGGATCATTTAGAAGCTGAGGAGAAAACAAAAATTCATAGATGTCTGTATCAAGATCTCCTGAGACTTGGGAAACTTGGCCCCTTTACATTACCATCTCAAATAAAGCAAAGCGGTATTAAATTTTCAGTTAGGCATTGCTTGTTTTATAAATCCAATGATGTTGCAAGCAAAACCAAGCAGGTTAAGGAAAGGACAGCACTATGATCGTATTGCAACCCTGTCCAGTTCAAAGCAGTGGTAAATATCCACATAACTCACTGAAATAAGCAAGCTTTGCGTTTTCTTTCTTTAATTCAACTTTTCTGCTGTGAATCACTCTTACATGAGCCCTCTATTCAAGGGAATACCACTTCATATGGACCTTGCCTGGGGGAGTAGGGGGTGGCTCTAATAGCTAACTAAACGCTGTTAATCAGTTTATTGCTTATATGCCCTTGAAATTATGGTAATTAATAATTACCATAATTGGTAATTATGGTTCTTAACTCACATTATTTTTTTTTTACTTGGGAGGAAATGTATTGGGAATTTTACCTTAGGCATGGGATACAGTGCTACTCTGTACTGAGTAGTTTCAGCTACTCTGGCTGAAGCTCAAATAGCTAGCTTTTGCACTTAAATAGGCTACTCTTGGCTTTCTTTACAGATTACTTACAGGACCACGCTTAGTATTTTCAAGAAAAGTCATTAAAGATGCCATGCACAAGGGCCCTTCACATCCTCCACAGCAGCATCCAGCTCTGCTGCAAAGCAGAGATATGGGGAAGCCCTAGTTATACCACGTGCTAGAAACGATCATCTGAAGTTTTTCACCCAACCTAATTATTTATAATGGCCAAATTGTTTTTAACTGCTTTTTATTTCCCATAAAAGTGAGACAGAGCTGACATGAGGCACACAAATTTTGCATCTTAAATGGAGCATATTTGCAAGGTCAACAAGGATTTAGGTTCAAGTCAAAAGAGAGTTGTATGGTCAACACGGTTGTCAAAGTTCCCCCTTGAGTCAATGGAGAGAGTCAACAAGTGCATCTAGAGAGTGATTCACCTCCTCTTCTGGACATAAACATCAACGGGATGAATCACCCATCTGAAATTCTCGCCCTCACATCTGCAGTCAAGCGTTAAACCAGTATAACTATTTTAAACGAAACACAGGCCTTTTAGGTAGCTACAGCTGGATGAGACAAATCCACCCTGAAAATACGTACTGAATTCCAAAAGAGAATTTAAATTGCTTCTTTAGTGACTGAGAACATCCTCAGTTGTAGTAGTTTGACAGTAGTGACTGTCAAACATCCTGGGCATGGTTCATTATACTCTTATTAACTATTCCTTTCACTGATGCCAAGTTCTGTGATAAATACATGAGGCCCATAAAACTGAGAGGGAACCTCGAGGGTCCAGTATTCGGTGTTGGGATGAATCCATCCTTTTATCTGTTTTAAACTGATCTCCTACTAAATGTCTCCTAGTTCTGTTATTGTGGGATTCGGTGGCTAATGGTCTGCATTCACCGTATCCCTCACCTCCATGATAGTCAACCTACCCACATCCTCCCCCTCTCCATGCTGAACAGTCCTAGACCTTTGTTGTCTCTCCTTCTAATGCAACTGCTCCGTCCCCATGATTGTGTTAGTTGCCCTTCTCTGGACTTCCTCCAAATCCAGTAAATCCTTTTTGAGATGCAGAGACCACAACGGCACCAGCTACTCCATATGTAGGCCCACCAAGTTTTTACATGGCAGCAAAATGATCTTCTCTGTCCCATTCCCAGTGACAACACCCCACATTGTTTTGGCTTTTTTGGCTGTTGGTGCTGTTCTCCAAAATCATCAGGTTAGTATGCAGCAATAGCCAAAACATTCCCCAGGGGAATCAAACACCAAACACATTATTATTACTAC